TTCGCTGGCCCAGCTAAGCGCCAGAAGTACTAGCTGATGCCTGCGGCGTGCAACGCCTCTTTTCCTCCGCCAGTGATATTGTTACTTGTATTCGCGACGCGCGTACTTGAAAATCTGCGTCGGTTGCGCCTTCGTTCGCGCTGGGAGGCCCCAGCTATTCCGCCAACTCCCCGCGGCAACGCTCAATGTGCTGCGCGCGAGGGATTGCGCTTGTGTTTTGCCCTGCGTTGCGCGTGCATTACGTTTGCACTGCGTCGTGCCATTGCGTTTGCATTGCTTTTTGTTGCAGTAGTGGAGAACGAGCGAGAGGGGGAGGGGGCGGAGGGCGGTGAAATGGAGGGGGGGGAGGGAGAAGGGAAATGAGGGTAGGCGACGCATGTGTTAAGATGCGACGCGTCGTATCCTCAGACCCCTGAGAGCCGTCGCGCGCGCGGAGAACTGCTTTGTCAAATCGCACATACGATGCGCCGCACGGTAGCCCCCCCCCCGCGAGCTGCTTACAGTTCGTGGCGCAATGTCACCTGGGGTGCTCCCCGCAACGTTGGTTGCCGGAGGATTCCCAGCACAACGTGGCCACTTTGAACCTGAGGTGTTCCCTGCGATTGCCCCCCCCCCCCCCCAGCCCCCAGGATTTGGAAACGCCCACCCCTGCTCCTGGCTCGGGGTTCCGCCTTCCGATGACATGCTGCATGTGCGGGAAAGGCCCCCCCGACCCCGTTTGTTGCGCACTCCAGCAGCAGCATCGTCATCATCGCCACCAAAGCTATCATCATCATCATCATCAGCAGCAGCAGCAACATCAGCATTGTCATGGTCGTCATCACCATCATCCTTCTCATCACCATCAACAGCGGCATCATCATCAGCATCATCGGCATCAACAGCAGCATCGGCATCGCCAACATCAGCATCATCACCATCATCACCACTCTCAGCACCATCGTCATCATCAGCATCAGCAGCAACATCACCATCACCATCAGCATCATCATCATCGTGCCGACGTTCACCTTGATATGGCTGCCGAGGCTGCGGCTGATCGACGGGCTCCCGATCACCAGGCATCGTCTCGAACTTGGCTCGAAGATCGACCAGCTCACTCCAGTGTCCCATCTCCAGTTCGCAGCGTTCCGATCGGGGAGGGCTAGCCAGCATTTGAACGATACTGGTCCAACTCGGTTCAACCTGCCTCCGCGCCCTGGCACGCAACTCCTGAATGATAGGCGCCAGCGTGCGGTCAGTAAGCCACAGACGCAGGCGACTCTCAAAGGCCTGGTTTCGTCCGCTAGTGAACGTCGTCCTCAGGAACGGAACGCGCCGTTCCATCCATTGCATGTTCGGTCGAGGCACCACGCTCGTGTCATCGAACCACATGGCCGCCTCCGACGACAGAGCATCTCCGCGTCTACGTGGCCCTGCCCTGTTGGATCACGCTCAGGCGCGTTAGCAGGAGGGGGCCCTGTGCCAAGAAAGGGGCGGCCCTGGCTCAACGCTCAACTTAAGCACGCCGTCGTCGACGTTGCCAATCCCCCAAGAGAACACTTGCGGATCCACCAGCGGACGGGGTGGTCGGGAGCAACGTCACGAACTCGAAATAGTCGTAGCACGCCTCACCGAGCCCACGATCAAGAGCTGCGCGCCTAACCGGACGAAGCTGAAGTATAATCTTCTCGGAGAAGTCTACTTCCCGACATCCTACAGATTTTCACACGCGCACCGCATGTGCCTACAAGATGCATCCTTCGCTTGGCACCACTCGCAATCGGCATTATTTCGGAGCTTGGTTGGAACCGACCGCTGGGGCCATCGGTGTTCCCAGCCACGCAGCTCCAACCACTCCATGCTGCTTGGACTCCAGGGCGAGGATGTCATTGCGCATGGCCCTGTGCCACAAGTAAGTATTCGGTCCCAGTGGCCTCGGGGGCGTGGTCGGTCATGCAGCTGCGCTGCCATTGCCGAGCCCCATTCGATCACCAGTTCGCGCACCTCCTTCGGGGAACTCGTCAGCAGCGATATCATGTCGCGTTCACTTGGCTTAAACTGCGCGGGGTCCACTAACTCCCACTCTATCCTGCCCAGTGAGAGCATCGGCGCTGCAACAGGCCCCGCGCGCGAAGCCCAGCTCAGGTTCTCGCCGAGCCTCGCCTTCACTGCCGCCCACGCGTGCCAGAGCGGAGCCCCTGGAAGTCGGCCTTCCCACTGTCCAGCCGCGTAGCGCTCCGCCAAGTCGGCCGTCGCGTCGCGCATGGGCTTCTGCATCGCCAGGTCGCATGGCAAAGAGCTCCCCTTTTGTGGATGCCCAGCCACCGCGCCGGCCAGTCGCCGACCTTCGTCCTGGTGGAGTCGGGGATACCCGACACGCTGCCGCCATGCCCCGTCGACGCGCACACCCCAGCACGCCACAATAGAGCCGCTTTGGCACCGGCTCCTTGTCGCGCCGCCTTGAGTCTGGGGTTGCGACCTCCAGCACTTCGTAGGCGGTGCTTCTCGATGGCCCCCTCCGTCCGCATTCTCAACAGCGCGTCGCCCAGGTTGTGCGCATGTGGCTTGGCCTCCATCCGCAGGCGCGTGAAACTCTTCTCCAACGACTTCTGCGCCGCCACTGACGTCGAAGCGGGGTGGGGCTCAAGGAGGGGGGCGAGGGTGACCAGAGCAAACCCACGATGCGTTGCGATAGCGCACCCTCCTGTCCCAAATCATCTCCTCACATGTCTCTACAGGCCATCCTTTTCACGACAAGAAGCGCTCCTCCCTTTTTGGAAAGGAATTGCTTCGCATCCTTCCAGTGCGTAGTCAGGAAGGCGAGACAGAACCATCATGCATTTCACGAAGGTGCCCAGCGAGCTCCCCTGATTGAGAAGGACGACCCCCTATCCGAGTAGCTGTTGCAAGTACCCGTCGGTCGTTGAAAGAAGGTCATTCTGGATTCCCGGAACCTAATCAACTTCAGGCACCTTCCTACTTCAAGAATCGATATGGTTTGACTGTTGTTTGTTATTATGTGGACGGGCCCGAACCCAATCTACTTTATCCGCCTTCTTACTTCATGTTTCTACCTACTTCTCCCGACCGGCGTGTATTTACAATTTGGGTATGAATGTCGAGAATGGTTGAAGCAACAGTCTCATTATGAAGCGGAGCCTCTCTCGATACGACATACGCTGAAGTATCTGGCATATACGGCATATACCTTTTAGGGAAGTCGCAAGCCAGAGTCAGATTTGAGAGTGGGCCGCCCCCTGCCCTCATAGCTGTTGCAAACCTATCAAAACGAAGGTGCGCGGCGCTGAGGCGAGAGCCCCATTATAACGACGCCCCCCGTCCATCATTGTAGCTTTTGCGACTTGTAAGACGAGTGCGAGCGGCGCTCAGGCGGGAGGCCCACGTTGGAAACGGCGTGTGCTCCATCCGTGTGGCAGCTGCAAACTTTTAAGACACACGTGCGCGGCGTAAAGATGATATCCCAATGCTGAAACTAATCCCATCAATCCGTGTAGTTGTTGCGAATGCCAAACTGTAGGATCATCAATCGCCTGGGTGTCTCAGGCGGAACGCCTGGCCCGCCTTTCCAACACGTCTGGGGGTGCGAGAGGGAGGAGTTATATACAAGGGAACCGGATGGAGGAGGAGGAGGAGGAGGAGGAGGAGGAGGAGTTGGAGTTGGAGTTGGAGTTGGAGTAACAAGTCGAAACGGATGGAATCGTATGGAATTGGAGTTATAGGAGGAGGACGAGGAGGAGGAACAGGAGTAGGAGGACCAGCGTAAACGTAATAGTCACCAACGATATTGTAGTAAACCCTCCCTCCAAATTCCCTTGTTCATAGGCCCCTACAATGGTTCATTTGCATTGATGGAACTGCCTGGTTGGAAGACACCCGTTCGAAGACCCTGAATCATGCCAAAACATTGTTTTCGGGATTCCAGTACCACGGATCAACCTGACTTGTTGCGTCTTGACGATCCTGAATCGTGCCAGGACGCCATTCCGATGCCTATGATTTCAACACAGAGAACCAACATAATTGTTGCACCCGCATAATCCAGAATCCGTCCAAAACACCGTTGCTGGTACGTTGATGATGGGACACGGTGAAAGTCTTGCAAATTTTACAGCGAATGTGCGCGGCGTTACGGCGAGAGCCTCATTTTGACAAGGAGGCGCCAACAATCCGTGAAGCTCTTGCCAATTTAAGAAACGAATGTGCGCGTTGTTAAGGCGAGAGCCACATTTTGAAACCCATTCGCCTTGAATCTGTAAAACCCGTGCACATTGAAAACGAATGTGCGCCGCGCTCAGGCGAGACCCACATTTTGAAAACGACTCGCCTTCAATCCGTGCAAGTGTTGCAAATGTCTGAAACGGATGTGCGCCGCGCTAAGGCGAGAGCAACATTTTGAAAACGACCCGCCCTCCATCTGCGAAGCTGTTGCCAATTTTTAAGCTTCAGAGTCGTAAAGTGTGAGGAACTCTCAGGCGAAACGCCTGGCCCGCCCTAAAAACTGGCTTCGGGGTGCGACAGGGGGAAGTTCTTTATAAGGAAAAGGAATGGAGGAGGAGGAGGAGGAGGAGGAGCAGGAGGAGCAGGAGGAGGAGGAGGAGGAGACGGAGGAGACGGAGGAAGAGGAGGAGGAGGAGCAGGAGGAGGAGGAACTGGCCGCTGGAGCAGGAGGAACAGCAGCAGCAGCAGCAGCAGCAGGAGGCGGAGAGCCGGCTGGAGCAGGAGGAGCAGCAGCAGGAGCAGGATGAGCAGCAGCAGCAGCAGCAGCAGCAGGCGGCGGAGAGCCGGAGAGCACGAGCCGGCAGCAGGAGCAGCAGGGCCCAAGACGCAGTCCCTAAGCGCAAAGGGGCCATGGGACACATCGGCTCCCGAAAAGCTTGCAAGGGAGCGACAGACAGGGCAGCGTGGTGGAGGAAAGAGGCCTTGGCTTCACTCGCTCACTCCCCTCCTTAGTCGTCGCGCCATGCACCCGCAGGGCGGGAGGGAACAGGAATAGCGGCATGGCTGCGTGCGTGCGAGAGCCAAGCCCATTAATCGCCTTCGTGCGCGCGCGATGGCGGCGGCGGCGCGCCGCTGCGCGGCCGCCTCGTGGCGACGGCGCCCCGCCGACCTGGCAGCCCTAGGTGGCGCAGGGCGAAGAGGCCTTGCTGCGGGCGCGCCGGTGGGATCCGGGCCGGGCGCCTTGGTGGCGCACCGCGAGGAGACCGGGCCAGGCTTGGGCGAGGCGCTCGGGGCGCTGGCTGACCGCGGCCTACTCGGTGGCGACAAACCCGGGCCTTACACGCGCCGCCCAGAGCGTTCCGAAAGGCTCTCGCTCCTGAGCGCTCTGGAACGGTCTCGGCGTTCGATACGTCTTCAAAGATTTTCGATTTCCCCTCGATTCGATTTGATCGTCGTCCTGGCTTTCTCCGAGGGGGCACGTACGGGTCGAATCGAGCCACACTTGCGGCGACAGGCCGCAGACCCCGCCGCCCATGGGCTCAGGAACGCAATGGGTGGCGGGGATAGGGTTCGGATGTCGTCACCTAGCCTCGCCCATACGGCGGCCCACGGCTTGCGCGCCGGGGCAGTGCGCTCAGGGAAGACCAGGCTGCACCTGCTGGACGCGCACGAGGTCGTGGCGCTGCTGCGGAACGGCGCGGTGACCCCCCTGGAGCTCGTGGACGTTGTGGAGGCCCGTTGGGCGGCCACCGAGCCGCTGGTGCACGCCACCCCAATCCCGTGCTTCGAGCGCGCGCGCGAGGCGGCGTCTGTGATGAGTCACCCGCGAGTGCCACCGCCAGGGTACCTGCACGGACTACCCGTGCTGGTGAAGGACGCCGAGGCGGTCGCGGACGTCCGCTTTACCGAAGGCTCGCCCATCCACGCGGACCGCGTGCCCGAGCGCAGCAGCGATCTGGTACTGCAGTTGGAAAGCAAAGGGGCGGTCGTGGTGGGGAAGACCAACGTGCCCGAGTTCTGCGCCGGATCTCAGACTTTCAACTGGCAATGCTTGGGGCTGCGCGCTGACATCCTCCGCTGGTGGTCCCAGATGGCATCAGCAGCCCCTCAGGGTTTTTAAGCTGACGCGAAATTCAAGAGCAGGCCTAGTTTTTGGAAGGGTACCTCGTGCTCGTTGTGTTTGAGCCCTCCATCCTGAAAGGCTCTTTGTTTTGGGTGCCTCCATGGGGCCTTGGGTCCTCGGAGATCGGGGAGGTCATGTTCTTGGCCCGCTTTCTTGTGGCCGCGTCTCGACCTCAGTGTCCAGGGCGGTCAATCACCCGGCGGCGCCCCCATGTCGCCCGCGCCACGGGCTACAGTGCCGAGACCGCCACGGACTGCTGAGACTGGCCCTGGCTACCTCAACTGGGGCTGTCCGCGCGCAGCCCCAAGCCTTGCCACTCTCAACCCCCTCTTCCCCACCACCGTCTCGCCCTGGGACACGCGCACCACAGCCGGGGGGAGCAGTGGCGGCTCCGCGGCCGCCCTGGCCAGCTGCCAGTGCTGGCTGGCCACTGGCTCGGACCTGGGCGGCTCGCTGCGCACACCCGCCGCCTTCTGCGGCGTGGTGGGCTTCCGGCCCTCGCCCGGCGTGGTCATCCGCTCCAGCGGCGGGAGGCGCTCTGGGCCCCGACGAGGGCTCCACGCGACGAACGGGCCCATGGGCCGCTGCGTGCGGGACGTCGCCCTGCTCCTGGACACCATGTGCGGCAGCAGCGGGTGGGATTTTGCGTCCCCAGGGCCGCTTGGTGGCACGCGGTGGGAGGAGGCGGCCGCCAGCAGCGGGGCCCACGGCACCCCGCTCCGCGTGGCGTTCTCGACGCTCGGCTGCCAGGTGGAGCCCGCCGTGGAGCGCCTGAGCAGGCGGGCCGCCAGCGCCCTGGCGCGCGTCGGCGCCAGCGAGGCAGCGGTGGACGAGATCGACGGAGAGAGCGTGGACTTCGGCAGGGCATGGCGGGCCTTCTGCGTGCTGCGCGGCGAGTCGTTCGCAGCTGACTTCGAGGAGACGCTGCGAGATCCCGCGCGCCGGGCGCTGCTGAAGCCGGAGATCCATTGGAACGCCGAGATCGGCAGGGTGCCCGAGGCTCCCGCGATGGTCGCCTCTGCGAGGGATGACCTGGACGCCCTGTGCGTGGAGGTGGAGGCCTTGTTCGGCCGGTACGACGTGCTGTGCACGCCGGCGACACTGGACGCCGCCTTCGACGCCGGGGTGCGCTATCCCTCCGAGCAGCTCGGCCAGGCCTTCCCCGACTACCTCGCGTGGATGAGGCCCGCGTGCGTCGTCAGCGTCATGCCCTGCCCGGCGCTGGTGCTGCCCTGCGGCTTCCTGCCCGACGGCCGCCCGGTGGGCCTCCAGCTGGTGGGCGCGCCGGGCGCGGACTTCGCGGTGCTCCGCGCCGCGGCCGTGCTCGAGGCGGCCCTGGCCCTGCCGCGGGCCTGCCCGGAGCCGCGGCGCGGCGATGCGCCGCTCGGGACGGTCGGCCCGAGGACCGCGGAGGAGGCGCGGGCCCACCACGAGGGCGGCGTGCGCCGCTTCGTCCAGAGGTTCCGCGGGGCCGCGGCGGGCTAGGATGGAGCGCTTCTGTGGTTCCGGGATTCCCAGCAGGAATTTGGCGCGGGCGGGGGAGGAGGGGGACGCACGGTATGGGGTACAGTGGGGGGAGCGGAGGAAGGGGAGGAAGAGGAGGGGGGAAGAGGGAGGGGCAGAGGGGGGGGGGAGGAAGAGGGAGAGGAGGAGGGGAGTAGGACAAGCCAGGTGCGCTCGCGTCATCTCTGACGTCCTACCCCTCCCTCCCATCCCTTACCATGTCGTAGATCTCCTCTCTATTCGCACAGTCGGATGTCGAGCAGGGCAATGATCCCGAGAGGGTGCGCGATGCATCGTAGAGCACGGCGTAGCAGGGCGCAGAAGAACACGGCAGAGCGTAGTATGTCATAGTATGGCGTGGCGTTGCGTAGTGAAGAATTGCGTCACAAAGCATTGCAACGCAAATGTTGGCATAGCACAGCGGCACAGAACAGAACAAGGCATAGCATAGCGTTGAAGATCAAAGCGTAGAATGGCATAGCATGGCGTGGCACTGGGTAGTCAAGCACTGCATATCCTAGCATTGCAGCTGAAGGCATGGCATCGCACAGTGGAACACCGCATAGCATTGCATTGCATGCCGTGGCATGGCACTGGAAACAAATGACGCCAGCGCTGCAGCGGGAGCACGATTCGGAACGAGCGGAAGCGCGGAAATGAGTCCAGCGTTGCGGCGGGAGCACGATTTCGGAACGAGCGGAAGCTCGAAAATGAGGCCAGCGCTTCAGCGGGAGCAAAATTTTGAACAAAACCCAAGCGATAGCCCAACTCTCGGGAATTTTGAGTGTAAAAAACAATACTCGGAGGGGAGCCGAATATCTTCCGGACCCTATCAGGGGAGAGAGGAGAGTAGTATTCATACTGTGCAGATGTGGAGGAGTAAGAGGAAGTGGAAGGAAGGGGGAGGGAGCTGAGGAGGTGGGCATAAGTGAGAGGACGGAGGAGACGGAGGAGAAGATTTTTTTTTTGACATCCACGATCAAAGACCCGCAGTGCGGGAAAAGTGCATTAGAGAGATAATTGTTATAAAACTCCAATGCCGTCCAAATCAACTGTGACCCCATTCCGTTTCGGATGGAGCCCTCTGCTGAGTTTGGACCAAAGATCTCTTCTGCGGGATTTGTGGGCGGACCAAAGCTTGTCCGCGTGTCCTCGCACGACCAGAGGGTGGGAGGGATTCGCTGGACAGGGGTCCCCCAACCCGCGAAGCTGCCCTCCACATGTGTAGAAGAAGCACAGCTGGCAAAACGCCACAAAACTTCCATCGCTGCAGTCGACAATGATGCAGCGATGACCCAAGTCTCTCAGAGACTGGGGCGAAACCTTAAGCTGCTGAGAGCACCTCCCAGGCGGAGGTCTCGAAAGAGAACGAGAGCACTTGAGGCACTCGTTGCATTGCCAGAATTTGCCAGCCCAACCCCAGGAGTGACCAGGACCTTGAACCCTGGGAGGACCAAGAGCCAGAGGAGACGGAGGAGAAGAGAGGGCGATATAGGAGGAGAATGAGGAGGAGGCGGAGGAGGAGGAGGAGGATGAGGAGGAAGAGGAGTAGTAGGAGGAGGAGGAAGAGGAGGAGGAGGAGGAGGAGGAAAGGAGGAGGAGGAAGGAGAAGGAGAGGAGGAAGATGGAGGAAAGGAGAAGGAGGAGGTGGAGGAGACGAAGAGGAGACGGAGGAGGAGGAGGAGGAGTAGGAGGAGGAGGAGGAGGAGAAGGACGACGAGGAGGAGGAGGAGGAGGAGAAGGAGGAGGAGGAGGAGGAGGAGTTGGAGTTTGAGTTGGAGTTCGAGTTGGAATTGGAGGTGGAGGCTGAGGAGGAGGAGGAGGAGGAGGAGGACAAGGAGAAGGAGTTGGAGTTGGGGTTGGAGTTGGAGTTAAAGATGGAATTGTAGTTGGACGAGGAGGAGGAGGAGGAGGAGGAGGAGGAGGAGGAGGAGGAGGAGGAGCGGGCGTGGAGTGGCAGCAATTCCGCCTGTATCCCGCCGACGGACCCGGTCCAAGCCGGGAGACATCGGCAAGGCATCCGATCCCGCAAGACCCATCGTTTGGTGCACATTGGAAGTCCGTAGGAGGATAACCACGTGCCCCGCACGACGGCTCACAACCAGGGAAACAGGATTTGTGTGTTGGCTGGGGGAGGGGGTTTCAGCTGGCACGATGGTCAATGACAACCCTAGCTCTGGAGGGTACCTTGTATGTTCTTCGTGATTGGGATCTCCCCCTTGGAGTGTCCTTCGTTTGGGCAGTATCTACATTGTGCCCGAGGCCGTCAACGAAGTGGACTCATGCTCTTGACCCGCGTTCTTGTGGCCAGGCTTCGACTGTAGGGGTCCTCCCCGTCCCGGTCACAGGATGGGGAACTCACGAGAGAGTTGCGGATCGGTCCTTGCGATCTCCTCCCGTCCGCCCGCCGGGAGCGCGAGGGGGAATGTGGCGACAGGTCGCAGACACAGTCACATGTGCTGGAGAGGTGGGGCATCGCCAGGTGCTTCCCCACAGGTATCTCAGCATCGCGGCTGTCCGCCATCGCCCACTCTAAGCCGCGAGGCGGTGCCCCCGCCCCCATTCAACAGACACCGCGCCCCAAGGACTTTGGTGTCGGAGGCCCGCTCGCGTCCGCCTCATCTCTCGTCTGTCGCCTCCCCCCTCTTCCGCCCCCTGCACGTGTGGGTTCGCAAGCGGCTCTCAGGCGCAAGCATATGCCGCCCTGTTTGGGCGACGCGGGGAGGTCTTCCTGCCCAGAGGTCCATCCAGGGTGATGGGGGGGGGCTCCGGAAGCTTCTGGAAGGCTCTAGAGACCTCATAAAGGCCTGCAACCTCGGTCTTCTAAACTCGTTGCTGTTGATGGCGACACGGTGCCTATGCCGTTGACGCCCTCGGCCGAAGGCCGAGAAAGTAGTCGGAGGTGTGGAAGAATCCGGCCACGCAAAACGTAGCCGGAGTCAAAAAACAAAGCCAGGCAGGGCGACCAGCAGCCGAGGAGGAGACTACTGACCGCCGCACTGGTCCTGGCCCCCGTCTGTGTGCCAGGGGGGAAGAAGTCCCCTCCCGAGTCGGAGGCGGTGGCCACGTCGCCAACCGCAGTCAGGGATCTCAGTGGTCACATTGAAAAGTCATATAAGGGACACGCTTCGGTGCCAGCGGGAATTAAACTATACAAACCAGCTTTGGGCGAGCCCCCAGAGAAGAGGATGACGACGAGCAGGACCCCCCGCAACACGCGGCACCCCCCTTCCCAGCCGCAACCCTCCGCGAGCCGCCTCGGCAGACAGCAATGGCGGGTTCCGCGCACCTCATAGGGAGCCAGCAATCAGGTGTCGGCAGAAATCGCATACCAATGCCATAAGCCGAAGCAGGGCGCAGGGAGGACAAGAAGCGTCAGGGTACCCCGTGCGCAAAGGAGCGCGGCGCGCCGCACGCCCCCTCCCCCAGGGGCAGGATCCCAAAACCGGAGTCTCAACGGCAGGCCCTCCTCTGGCCGCCAGCGACAGGGCAAAACCCCCGTCCGTGCAGGCCCCTGCCCCGCAGTGGAGGCAAGGGCCGTCTCCGGATGCCGCAGAGCGGCTCTGTAGACGCCGCGCAGCGCACGGCCCCGGCCCTCCGGAGGGGCGTAGGGGGGTGGGGCACTGGCGTGCCCGCGGCCGCTCAGCTTGCGCCGAACAGCCGCACGTCCCAGCTGCCCAGGGCGTCCTGGTCTTCTAACCTCGGTCCTCGAACCTCGATTCCCTGCGTCCCTCGCCCGCGGTTCCCACTCTGGCTTTGAGAGCCGGGAGGCCGTCAGTCGGGTCGAAAAGACAGGACCGCGCCGTTCCTCAGTAGCTATTCCAGCTATCCTCTTGTTTTGTTTCTCTCTCTCTCTCTCTCTTTCTATCTATGTTCTCCCCCCTCCCTCCCTCCCTCCCTCCCTCCCCCTCTCGCCCACTCCCGACGTTCCCTCCTCTTCGCCCCCTCCCTCCCCCGCTTCTCCACCCCTCCATCCACCCCTCGCCCGCTCTTCCTCCCCTCCTCCCTCACTCCTGTCCCCCGCCCCCTTCCCTCCCGGGGGTATCGGAGGTGGACTGGAAGCGTCTTCCTCTCCCTCGGTCCGCAGTCGCCGCCGCCGTCGACGCTCTCGCCGTCGTCGTCAACGCCACCGTCGTCGTCCGCCGACGTTGCCGCCACAGCCGCCGGACGCCGCCGCCGTCGTTGTTGCCACCGCCGCCGCGTGCGCGCGCCCGTGGCAGGCCGTCGCGTCGCCTTGGCCGCGGCCGGCCGTCGGCGGCCCGGACCAGCTCCAGCACAGGCCGCGCGCTCAGTCCGATCCGCCCTCTGCCCGCGCGGCCTGGCTTCATCGCATCGGTCCGTCTGTCACTGCAGCAAGCTGGCGCCGAGGCTGCCGCCTAGACCCGCCCGCAGCGTCAGCGTCATTGGGAAGAGGAGGAGGAGGAGGAGGAGGAGGAGGAGGAGGAGGAGGAGGAGGAGGAGGAGGAGGGGGAGGAAGAGGAGGAGGAAGAGGAGGAGGAGGAGGAGGAGGAGGAGGAGGAGGAGGAGGGTCATCAACGATGTTGGAGTAATCCCTACCTACAAGCTCCCTCTTCATAGGCCCCTACAACGGTTCATTTCCAGTGAGGGAACTGCCTCGTTGGAAGACACCGTTTTGAAGACCCTGAAGGATGCCAAAACATTGTTCTCGGGACTCCATCGCCATGGATCAACCGGACTGTTGCGTCTTGACGATTCTGAATCGCACCTGAACACCATTCCTAGGATTTCAACACACATAATCAACGTAATTGTTGCGCCCGCATAATCCTTAATTGTCCGAAAACATAATTTCTGGTACGTCGATGATGGGAGTCCGTGACACCCTTGAAATTATTGTAAGTGAATGTGCGCGGCGCTAAGGCGAGAGCCACATTTTGAAAAGGGACCGCACTGAATCAGCGAAACTCCTTGGCAAATATGAAAAACGAATGTGCGCCGCGCTAAGGCGAGAGCCACATTTT